GCTCGATCCCCAGTAGGGGCATGCATGAGGCAGTCAACCAATGATGTCTCTCTCTCATTGATGTTTCTATCTCTCTATCCCTCTCCCTCTCTCTCTAAAAATCAATAAACATACTAAAAAAAAGGAAAACCATTAGAAAGCAGTTCCCGACCTTTTCCATGAATTCTTCTTCTTTGGTTACATCTTCACAAAAATCATCACTGACATCCAACACCAGCACTGGAATGTTCAGCAGAGTCTCAAAGTGGAGCCTGTGCGAAGCGTGAGCATTTAGGGAACAGAAAAGAGGAAGATGAGCCAAGCTTCACACCCTCTTAATAATTCAAAGAACAGATCTAAAGTCACACGGCTCTAAAGTAAACAGCATTTGAAAAACAATTCACGTGGAGGCATGGAACATACCTCAATGTGGGGTTAGGGGGACAAGAAGAGATAAATCAAAGAACTTATATACCTACTAGATGCCCGGTGCATGAATTCGTGCACAAGTGGGAACCCTCGGCCTGGCCGGCGATCAGGGCCATCTTGCCCAGTCCCGATCGGGGCGATTGGGGCCAGCCAGCCAGGGGAGGAACCGTGGGAGGTTGGCTGTGGGAGCGCACTGATCACCAGGGGGCAGCTCCTGCATTGAGCATCTTCCCCCTGGTGGTCAGTGCATGTCATAGCGACTGGTCAACCACTTGAGCAGTGGACTGGTCATAACGGTCACATAGGCTTTTATATATATACTAGAGGCCCGGTGCACAAAAATTTGTGCACTTGGGAGGGAGGAGGGGGGTCCCTCAGCCCAGTCTGGGACCCCTCAGGGGATAACCAACTGCTGGGTTAGGCCCACTCCTCAGGAGATTGGGCCTAAGATGGCAATCAGACATCCCTCTGGCAGCCCGGCAGCCCTCAGGGCATGTCCACTTGTCAGCGAGGAGTAGCCCTAAGCTGCAGACATCCTTACCACGGCTGAGGAGGCAGGAGAGGCTCCCACCACCACTGCTGTACTGACAGCCCTCAGCCTGGAT